ATCTGAGCCATCTCCAGCCCGCGCTCTTCCGTGCCCAGGGGTTCATCGATATCGATGTCCGCGAGTACACGTTCCCCATCGGTCTGTGGCCCGAGTCGCCGCATGACCGAACCGTCGGCAAGATGGGCCTCATTGCCTTATTGGAGGGCCTGGAATCATATAGTTTGCGTGCCCTGACCACAACGTATGGCTGGGTGGCGGAGGAAGTGCGCGAACTATGTGACCAGGTGCGTGCGGAAATCTTGCAAGGCGTGTATCGCATTAGTGCGAGGGTGAAGATCGTGACGGGGCGGAAGCCGTTGACGTGAGCAGATATGTGGATATCTATTTCTTTCTTCTTGTTCTGTTGATGACCTTATGATTATGATTTTTATTATCACTTATACCATACCGTGGATCGGTATGGACTTTGATCAGGCTTTATCTTGAAAGATATAACCTCCAATGGAGACAGTTCAGACTTTTTGTATCTATTCTCTCGCACAGTCCATATAGATGTGATATCTCCAACGTACATACAACAAATAGAAAGCAAGTGAACAAACAACAGAAGAGACCTTTTTTATCCTAACGCCCCGAACCCAATGCAGTCGAGCACAACATCAACAGGCTAGACAAAACAAAACAAAGACAACAGCGGGTGGGTAGATACCAAGCAAGTATGAAGAAAAGAATAAACTACAACTGGAACTTCGTCCTCGTCTTCTCCATTTGTCCCTTCCACTCCCACTCCTGCCCACTAGCTCTCTGGATCCCCTTATCAACTCTGCGCAACTTCAACGTAAACCGGGGTCCCAACTCCTGCATACCCGCTCTAATCCCCTCCGCGCCCTTCATCTCCTTTCCATCGGCACCCACAACCGCCTTCTCCGTCTCCCTCTTCTCCCGGAACACATACCGATGACGACGGAAGAACAAATAATCACGACTATTGAGCACCGTCACGACCTGCCGGCCCTCAATATCAGGCTGCGGCGGGAACAACGTCCGGAACAAATGCGCCGTCAACAGACCCAGCGGCGTGCGGAAGTTATTCAGAATCAGCTCGGGCCAGTGGTCCGTAGCGCGTCCGTGACCCGGGATGCGCTTGCCCTCGACCCAGTTCGTCATGGAGAAGTGGAACATGGGTCCCGTGGGGAGATGCACGATGTCCAGACCGGCGGGCTTCTTCTGGTCTTCGCGGAGGATCACCACCGCCGTGAAGTTGCGGTTCGTGGCGAACTTGGAGATCTCGCGGATGGAGAACTGGTGCGCGAAGCGGTGGCGCGTGCGGCGGACGTAGACGGAGTTGGGGAACAGGTCGGTGAGGAGCTCGGCTTCGTGGTGAAGGGACGAGTTGAGGGATGTCGTGATGAGGATCTTAGGGGACTTGGGGTTCTCGGTGCTGAAGAGGGAGGGGAATTTGGACGCTAGGGCTTCGGGGACGAGATTTAGGTTGGTGCTCTTGGTCGATTGGGAGGGGCTGGTGGCGCGCTCTGTGGCTGTGGGAAGGGATGATTTGCTGCGGCCGCGAGTCGAGTCGGAGGAGGATTTCGATTTCTTCTTGCCGGAGTCTGAGTCTGAGTCTTCGTCGTCGTCGTCCGAGGCGTCTTCGTCTTCCTCGTCGCTGCTGGCGAGCATGCTGTCCACGTCGTCGTCCTCGTCATCCTCTGATCCTTCTTCTTCAGCGTCGGAGGATTGATCGTCCTCGTTCAGGGGCCGGTTCAGCTCTTCTTCTTCCTCTTGCTTGCGCCGCTTGATGCGCTCGACGTCCACGCTCAGTCCCAGACCGTCCTCGACGTCGCTGCCGGCGTCATCCCAGACTCGCTTGCGGTCGATAGTCAGGGGGATGTTGCGCTTCAGACGCTCCTCCTTCAGCTTGGGGTTCTTGGCCTCTTCCTTCTTGAAGGCATATCGTTCGGCACGGCGAGTAGAGTCCTTGGCGCGCTTGCGCTTGATATGGAGGAGTTTGCGCTGGATCTTGTTGCGGGGCTTTGCGTCGAGGCCGACGCCCGGAGGCGGCCGGTGGGAAGCTTTCTTCGAAACCATCGTTTGCTGCAATTGGGGGTGAACGATGGAGGGGTAGGAAGTAGTTGAGTCGAAGCAAATGAAGATATCAATATTGGATTACCCGTTTGGGCTATCCAAAAAAATCTGGCGGATCAAGTATTCATCCGGCGGTGAGCATAGGTCTGCTGAGTCAGCCAGGGCGCGGCTCGATTGGGAAATGAAGGGAAGTTCAGCTTTCTCGCGATCGGCCAGGAATTGGATTCCTTTTCGTGATTATTTGGCAGAAAAAGGAGGGTATTTTCGCCGGAAGAGAATCAAGGCCATTACAGCCCCGCATAAGTCCCTTGTCTCCGCATTCCTTATCGACGGCAAACTTGTGGATTGGTGGAGAGTTGAGCAAAAGGGCAGGCGGATGAGTCACTGCAGCAGCGCTCAGCGGCTGGGCGGCCTGAGGTGTCGGCGGGCATTGGGTCCCTCTTTTCGGTCTTTTTGTCCCCGCCATCCCAATCGTCTTCTTCATCGCCAACTTCTGGCTTTTCGTCTTCCCCCCACTTGCGCCAGCTCCTCCTCCTCCTCCTTTATTCTTCCTCCCCGTTCCTTTTCCACCTCCCTCCCCCGTACGCGACATCATCTCCCTCAGCCGTCCTCCAAAAAGAAGTCCACCAAAATGGCTTCCCTCTCCACCAAGACCGGCCAGGTCGTCGACCGGTCCGTCTTGGACTCTATGCTGCGCCGCCGTCTCTTCTATACCCCTTCCTTTGAGATCTACGGTGGTGTCTCCGGCCTCTACGACTATGGCCCGCCCGGTTGCGCCGTCCTGAACAACATTGTCGATCTGTGGCGCAAGCACTTCGTCCTGGAGGAGGACATGCTCGAGGTCGACTGCACCATGCTCACCCCGCACGAGATCCTGAAGACCAGTGGTCACGTCGACAAGTTCGCCGACTGGATGTGCAAGGACCCCAAGACCGGCGAAATCTTCCGCGCCGACCACCTGGTCGAGGAGGTGCTCGAGGCCCGCCTGAAGGGTGACAAGGAGGCCCGTGGCCAAAAGGTTGAGGTGGACGAGGAGAAGGAGGCTAAGAAGAAGAAGAAGGTCAAGCAGACCAAGGCGGTTAAGCTGGATGACGCCGTTGTCAAGGAGTACGAGGAGACCCTCGCCCAGATCGACAACTTCGACGGCCCCGAACTCGAGAAGATCATCGCCAAGTACGACATCCGCAACCCCACCACCGATGGCAACCTCCTGCCCCCCGTGGCCTTCAACCTGATGTTCCAGACCTCGATCGGCCCCAGCAGCAACATGCCCGGCTACCTGCGCCCGGAGACCGCTCAGGGCCAGTTCCTCAACTTCCAGAAGCTGCTCGAGTTCAACCAGCAGTCTATGCCCTTCGCCTCTGCCTCCATCGGCAAGTCGTTCCGGAACGAGATCTCCCCGCGCGCCGGTCTGCTGCGGGTGCGTGAGTTCCTGATGGCTGAGATCGAGCACTTTGTCGACCCCCAGGGTGGCAAGAAGCACGCCCGCTTCGAGGAGGTCAAGGACGTCAAGATGACCCTGCTCAACCGCGACATCCAGCTGTCCGGCAGCACCAAGACCGAGGAGATGACCATCGGCAAGGCCGTCGAGACTGGCCTGGTCGACAACGAGACCCTGGGTTACTTCCTGGCTCGTATCCAGCTGTTCCTGCTCAAGCTGGGTGTGGACCCCAAGAAGCTGCGCTTCCGCCAGCACATGGCTAACGAGATGGCTCACTACGCCACCGACTGCTGGGATGCCGAGCTGCAGACCAGCTACGGCTGGATCGAGTGTGTGGGCTGCGCTGACCGCAGTGCCTACGATTTGACCGTGCACAAGAACAAGACCGGCGCCCCGCTCGTTGTCCGTGAGACTCGGGCGGAGCCCCTCAAGGTGGAGGAGTGGCAGATTGACCTGGACAAGAAGAAGTTCGGTCCCCGCTTCAAGAAGGACGGCAAGACCGTCACGGCGGCGATTGATGCTCTGTCGCAGGAGTTGCGCGAGAAGCTGTCGCTCGACCTCGAGCAGACCGGCAAGATCGAGGTGGAAGTTGAGGGTGTCGCTGGCGGCAAGGTTGAGCTGGACAAGGAGCTGATCAAGATTGAGAAGCGCACGCGCGTGGAGAATGTGCGCGAGTACACGCCTAATGTCATTGAGCCCTCGTTCGGTATTGGTCGTATCCTGTACAGCATGATTGAGCAGGTCTACTGGTCCCGTGAGGGTGATGAGGCCCGTGGTGTAAGTTTTCTTCCCTTTTTTGACTTTTGTTTTTACTATGGTTGATTCGTGATGCTAATGGATGAATTGCTAGGTCCTGTCCTTCCCTCCCGCGATTGCCCCTACCAAGGTGCTGATCGTGCCGCTGTCGACGCACCAGTCGTTCGCACCGCTGGTGCAGCGCCTGACGACTAAGCTGCGTCGCATGGGAGTGTCCAACCGTGTGGATGACTCTTCCGCCAGTATCGGTAAGCGCTATGCGCGCAACGACGAGCTGGGTACGCCGTTTGGTGTGACGGTCGACTTCCAGTCCGTCAAGGACAACACTTTCACCCTGCGTGACCGTGACTCGACCAAGCAGGTTCGTGCCAGCGAGGACGAGATTGCCCAGGCTATCAAGTCCCTGGTGGAGGGTGAGGAGACTTGGGAGGATGTGCGCAAGCGCCTGCCCGAGTTCACTGGCCAGGAGGTTGAGTAGATGGAGAGAGAATTTGTCTAATTTAAATCAAAAGAACGCTGTCTATTTAGATGGGCTGAAGAATGGCCCCTAGACCATATTCAATTCATTGATTGCATGAAGAATAAAAAAATCTATCTAGAATAAAGTTGCTGGCAGTAAAAAAGTAACGATGGGGATCGATTCGAGCCTCGGCCGATCGCCAAGAGATCGACATGCTCTCTCTCCGCTTCGTCATTCTGGCTTCTTCTTCGCTTCTTCTCTCCTTCTCTTCTCCTTCTGCAACTCTCCCCCTCCTACAACCTATCTCTTTCCCGTGCCATTTAGATAATAATTACATCTTTCGGGGATTGAACTCGATCCATCCCCCGGGATCCCACCCGCCCAACATGGCTCCCTCCATTCCCTCGGCCAAACTGACTCTCTCATGCCCGCTCTTCGCCGCCGACTTCGACCCGCGTCATCACGGCTTGCTACTGGTCGGTGGAGGAGGTGGTGAAGGCCGTAGTGGTGTCGGCAACAAAATCGCAAGTTTCTCTTGATATAAAGTATACTTCTGCAGCTCCATGCTAACGCGTCAATTCCCCAGGCCCTCTTGAATACCTCCAAGCGCTCCGAAATCTCCGAAGTTGTCGACATCAACTTGTCGCGCGATGAGGACTCAGTCACTTCTCTCGCCGCCGTCCAAGCTGACGACGAAGCCATCGTCGCCCTCGCCGGCATCAACAGCTCCGTGGCGGAGCAGAAGCGCGGCAATAACCAGCATCTGCGTTCCTTTCGCATTGATCATCCCACCCGGAAAGAGAAGGACAACAACAAGGAAAACGAGAAGACAACGAACAATGGACAAACCACCGCGCTTTCACGAACATCACTATTTCGCACCGTGAAAGGCCCCTCCTCCGCCGCCTCTCCCGACACCTACCAGCGCACCCTGCGCCTCTCCCCCTGGCAATCCGACTCGACCTCCCCGCGTGTCGCTGCCATCGCTACCGGTCTCGCCCCGGCCGGCGAGATCGTCTTCTTCAGCGCAACCCCCACCCCCAGTCCATCCGACGTGATCGGACGCATTCGTCTCAACAGCGACGAGGAAGCCGAGGACGTCGATCTCACCCCCCTCCCCGACAACAAGGGCCAATTCCGCGTCGCCTACACCAACGGCGTCGACATCTGCATCTGCACCATCTCCGCCGACACGCGCTCCAACGCCTCCCCCGACGTACAATGCGTCTACACCACCCCCACCCCCGACAAGGGCTCCCCCCGGATGCGCCCCAAGTTCCGCGCCCTCCGCTTCCTCTCCTCAACCAGCCTTCTCCTCCTCCAAAACGCCCCAGACCGCAAGGGCTGTGAGCTCGTCCTCCTGGACCTCCGCCCCGCCATCATCACCTCCGCCATAGCCACCACCACCACCACCACCAAAGAACCAACCACCAAAGGCGCCAAAGCATCCATCCTCCGCCGCAAGAAGCTCCGCAAAACCATCAAGATCGGCCTCGGTCTCGACACCTGCCTCCTTAGCCCAGACCCCACCACAAACCAACAACAAGCCGTCATCGCCATCTCCGGCAGCGACCAATCCATCGAGCTCCTCACCCTCGAATTCAACCCCTCCACAAACCGCTACAACCATTTCCAAACCTACACCTCCCTCCGCGATGTCCACCCCTTCTCCATGACCAAGCTCTGCTTCTCCCGCTTCCACACCCCATCTCTCCCTGTCTCCCCCGAAACCCCCCCACAATACATCAAACTCGCCTCCGTCAGCATGGGCAACACCGTCGTCGTCCATACCCTCCCCTTATCCCCCTGTCCCCCGACAAGCCGCTCCCCGCGCTACGTCCTCTCCATGCCCGGCGACTCCGAAATCTGGACAAACCTCACCTCCAGCTTCGCTGCCATCCTCTCCATCCTCACCGTCTGCTTCATCCTCCAGGCCTTCACCGAGATCCGTGGCGCCATGCCTCCTTACCTCGGCGCGAAGGACTGGTTACCGCCTAGTATCCGCGATGCTGTCGCCATCCCTTATGAACCTTTTACTCCTTCTCCGTCTGCTTCTCCATCTATCCCTACTACCAGTTCTATTCCCATCCCCCCAGAAGTAGAATACCCCGCCCAAATCCATTCACTGAACGATATCCTACTCTCCTCGGATGATCTCCAGCAGCAGCAGCAGCAGCAGCAGCAGCAGCAGCAGCAGGGGCGTCAATCCCTCCTGATAAACTGCAATCCGGAGACGAATACCCTCCGGATTGACTCGACTGATCCATCTTCATCATCTTCCTCTGAGGCCGATTCGGGTATCCATATCTGGGAAGATCTCTCCGAGGAGACTCGACACCGGTGGATCAGTCAGCTCACGCAAGCGGGCTACGAGCCATCTGGTGAAGATGTTGATGTGGAGTCGATTTTCAAGGGGGTGAGGTTCGGGGATTTGTGTACGGAAGTGCCCATTCACGAGGAGTTGTGATGCCGTTTCTTGTGGTTTTGTTCCCGCTTTTTCTTTTTCTTCTATATCATGGCTGGTATGTGTGTATGTATGCGTGGATGTAGGCCTGATGCAAGTAATGGTAGGTGGGTATGATTGTGGTTGTGGTTGGTTATTTACGTTGCACATGTTGCCCTTCTTGGATGTGGTGCTTGCTGGTGCCGATGATTTTTTATGAATAGCTCTTTTCCTTTTTTTTGTTTTTCCTTTTCTGCCTTTCTGGTCTTCTACTATACCTATGATTGTACGCTATCATGCTCCGTGTTCCATTCAACTGTACTATTATCATTGACCCGTGGGCCGCTGGTAGTTATTATGATCACAGAAAGAAATATAGTATCCTCTTTTTTACTAAGTCCCCTGGTTCCCAAGTACCGTCCTCTAGCTCGCTTCTTTTTAGCTGCATCAGTCGACCATCGATATTTTGTCTTCCCTCCTATCTTTTCTTCTCTTCCTTTTTTATACCATTCAGACGTAGCTGCTAAATAGCTGCTCACAATGCAAGTATTCCATCATGGACTCGTCAATTGAAACAAACATGACCGGGTACATGAGGGTAACAAAACAGGTTTTTGGTGCATGTTCATTTACCAGAGCATTTCAGCTCATCATCGATCTTCAGTACTTGGAGACACAGTTTTTGTGCATCATACTTCGGATCTCTCTTCTTTTTGCATTCCTTTGTCTCAGAGATGCAGCCAAAGATCAGCTGCACGCATACATCAAGTGCTCTCACAGGCATGGTTCGGAGCATCAAGGAACCGCACAGCGGGAAGGGTGGGATAACCAGATTAGTTGCGAATGTAAGAGGAATCACAAAGGGGAATCGACTCCAAGAAAGAACGCCAAATTACCTATGCCGAGTCTGCAGACGACAGAGCTGTGCAATGCGGATATCACAAGTAGAAATCGAGTTGCAATGCAGGTCGTTAGGGGGCAGCAAAAATCAACCGGAGGCGCGTAAATGTGACCCATATGTGCGTGAAAACAAGATCTGGTGTAAATTATAAGAGGAACAAGGCAACCGGCAGCGACCATGTGGCTACCAACATCGCCATTGCACATTCTCCTCTCCACAGTTTATCACTGTCCGCTGTTCTTCTTCCAACGGAGCAGCTCCGCCAGGCTCGCGAGGCTGCAGCCCAACTTGAGGAAATCATGGGCCAACAATTCATCGGCGGTAGCGCGGCTGCGCACATCGACACAGAGACATACACTCAAGAACGACTTGAGCTCCTTGCTGAGCTTCTCTGGCTTCTTGAGACGAGGGGTGCCGTTGGTGGCGATGAGGTACAACGCCTTGAGCGGCTCCTCATTGAGGTAAGGGGGCTCTGATTCGATCATTTCGATGGCCATGATACCCAATGACCAGCAGTCCACCTTGGGGCCATACTCCTTCTGCTTAACCACCTCGGGCGCCATCCAGTATGGAGTACCCACCATTGTGGCGCGCTTACTCTTCGACTCGGTAAGCTTAGCACAGAATCCGAAATCGGCTAAGAAGTGGTCAGCTTCGATCCCCCATGGTCATCAGAGAACTGGAAGGGTTACTCACTAATCTTGACATGACCAGCCCGGTCAAGAAGCACGTTATCACTCTTGATATCACGGTGGATAATGTTCTGGCTGTGCAGATGGGCCAATCCCTTGCAGGTCTGCTCGCGGTTCCCATAGTTAGTATCAAATTTCCGGTTATGGTTGATGTTTATTCACGCACCTCTGCACAAATTGTGGCAATTTGATCTTCCTGGATCACCGGGTTGTTGTCAATGACATCCGTGAGAGCACCACCTTCCATGAACTCCATGACAACCCACAACTCGTTGCTCTGCTCCTGCAGGAACGAGTCAAGGAAGTTGACAATGTTCGCATGCTGGCTGTCTTTCATGACAATGATCTCGTTGACAATGAGTTCTTTCCGAGGCTGACTACGCAAATCCATCTGCTTAATAGCCACCTGGGTACGGGGACCGTACTGCCGGTAAAGCTCCCGCGCAACGCCGGATGTAGCATGCTCCTTAACGCGTGCCACATACACGGATCCGGAGGCACCCTGTCCAATTTTCCGCTGCTTGCTGTAAGACTCGTTCGGGTTGTCCTTGGAGACGACAGAACGCAGGCGATCCATGACCTCGTTCTCGCTCATGTTCGACATGCGCACTTCTCTCTGGCGGGGCTCTGCCTTCTTGCTCAGGGCAGCCTCGGCTTGGCGGACTCCATCGGGGACGTTTGTCTTCGCGGTCTGCTTGTTCGCGATGTTCAGGGGCTTCACAGGCTGAACCGGAGCAGGCAACTTGCTGGGAGGGGGGCCCTGGGCCGGCTGCGCTTTGACGCCATTGTTCTGAGCCCGTGCAGGAGACTGTCCCTGAGCCGGGTGTCTGGAGCCCGGAGAGGATTGCTCAGCCCTGGCAGAGCCATTGGCGTAGTCTCCAGGCCGCTGTCCGGCGGTAGGAGCGGATGGGGCAGGGCGCTGAGCTGTCAGCTGGCGCGGAGGCTCCTGGCGAGAGGAGCCAGGGGCCTGCGGGGCGGGGCGGCTGGGCTTGTAACGATCATCGGAGGACTGGCCGTAGCCCCCGAGCTCTTGCTTGGCCAAGGGGACGCGAGTCTTGGGCAAAGAGGCATTGTATGCTTCTTGGTCGAGCCGGTTCTGCTCCTCTTCCCGCTGACGTGCGCGACGATCCTCTTCCATACGGCGACGCTCCTTATCCGCCAACTCGTTCATCCGCTCCAATTGTTGCTGTTGTTCCAAAGCACGATCGGAATCCGACTTGGACTGTGAAGGAGACGAAACAGGGGACTGGCTGGAGTACGACTGGCCACCGCTGTCCAAACGCTGTGCGGGAGCAGGCGGCGGGGGTCTTGGGGGTGCAATTGAGTTGCCCACGGACCCGCCGCCGCTGAAGGGCTTCGCCTGCTGGTTCGCCGGCGAGGAAAGCCCAGCGTAGTACTGAGGGTTCTGCTCGCGCATCTTAATGTCCGAGTAGAATTCCAGCACCTCAATGACGGCCTGGGGGTTCTTCTTGTAATCCTCCTTGGTGATTGCGGACGCGGTCAGGAGCTTCTCCCACTCTGGCGGCAAGCCCACGAAGGCGCCGGTGCGCGGATCGAATCCGACGTGAACACGATGGCTGAAGTTCGTGGGGTTGCTTACCCCTCCCATACCAGGGCAGCGCTCGTAGATCTTGTCGATCCAGTCGTAAATTTCGTCATCGCTCTTAACTTCGCAAGTGATGCTCTTGGTGGGCACATCGCGGGTGATTACGGCGGTTTTTGAATTCGCGTCCTTGGGGTTGGCGAGACGAATGATCTCGAAAGCCATGCGAGTATCCTCCGATCTCGAGACGCCTGTGACCGCCGTCAGCGGAATGGAAAGCACGATCTTCCCCGTCTCATTCTTGAGAAAGTCGAGACGGAATTCGCGCAAGATCAAGTATCGTTGATTCCACGTCGCCAGAAATTTGTCCTCCTTGCAACGAACGTATCCCTCCTTGATAACGGTGACGCCTCCTCCGCCCGACTGATCGGTCTTGGTGCGCGTGAGCGACGGGGTGCTGGTGTTGGGGAACAGCGAAAGGTTGGCCGGACCGGGGGTACTCGGGGAATTCAGACTCATCTGGCTGAAGGAGGTAGCCACGTTGTTGGAGGGGTTGGTAGGCAGGTTGAGTTGTGGGCGGTCGGCTGGGGGCCGGGGGGCAGGCCCCGGATTCATGAATTGGTCTGGGGAATACATCCTGCGGGCGCGTCAGCAGCGCCCGGAATTGATCACAGGCGAGAACCTGTGAGTGAATCGGGGCTGAAGGGCCAAAGGGGGTGGGTGGATAGGTAGGAAAGAGGGGGACAAGGAAATGAAGTCTGGCTCACTTTTCATAAGAGGCCATTAAGCTGGGCCGGAGTGGAAACCGAGACGCGGAACTCCCGAGGGGAAGGGGGGTTCCTCAGGGGGGAATGAGGGATGAGGGGGGGGGGGGCAACCGTGAAATCCACGGAGCAAACAATGTGAAGGGGAGGGCGGTCCCGACAACACACCCAGATTAATCTCCAGGTGCAGTTCACTGCAGGCCAGTCAGCATGAGAACTGTGGCATGTGCAAGGCTGGGTCTGTCAATCTGGTGACCCGTGGATGCGGTAGAGCCTCTTCTTCCCCAAGGGAACTATATTCCACCACCTACTCCATAGGCGGCGGGATGATAGAAGTGGAACAAGGAAAGCGACCAGAGCTAATTGAACATCTAAACATACCTTGAGGGGTAACTGTAAGCCTATCTTCAAGCCGAAAAGAAGCCTCGCACCCGCGAGGAAGCTCCGAGCGTGAACTGCACGTCTCGAAGGTGACAACCCCAATATCCAGACGCGGTGAGACCAGCGGTTACCAACCAAGGCGGCCAAGTACACAATGCAGGAGAGATGCAGGCGATGGCAGAGGGAGGTACCCGAGGCGTGCTGGGGTTCAGATGAAAAGGAGGTGGCGGGTGTGCAAACAATAAACGAGAGTCACGATACAACCACGGGGAGTAACGAGAAGACAGAGATGAGGAGGAGGAAAGAGGATGAAAGACGTGAAGAGGGGGGAAGAGGATAAGGAAGAGGGAGAGAAGAGGGTTGTGAAGAGGGAGGGAGTAAGTAGGAAGTTAGAAGGAGCACCAACAGGAGGCGGCAAAAAGGGAAGGCCGGCCGTTGAGTTGAACAAAAGGCACTCGAGGTTTCACCACCCGCGGCTCCAAGGGGCGCACGGCTCTAACTCTCCTCAAGAATATTATTATTATCTCTTTGGAGGGATGGTAATGGGCTTCCTCTTCAACCCTGTGAAGCAGATCACTGAAAAAGCCCCGGAAGATAGAATGAAGTTGGGGGGAAGGAGGGGAAAGGAGGAAAAGCAAAGAACAAGACAAGGAAGCAGAGGAATTGACTACTTTACAAAGTAACCCAGCAAAGATAAACTAATTGACAATCGCTATTTTGGTAGAAGTAAATACTGTCTTCGGCCCCCCCTGGGATACACTACTTCAAATATTCCTGTTGGTTGACCACAAACAGAGTAGGAGAGGGTCACCAAACAACGATCGATGGGTCCTTGACTTTGATCATAATGGATTGTCGTGGGCATGTCTTGGGTGGTTTCATATACAAAGCTAAATCCGAAGCAGCAAACAGCCAGGGCTCTTCTCTCCCCTGATTGTGATGATGCACAATTAACCTCTCCATCCTAGTAAAAGAAGCGCCCTTACGCATTTCACTGCGAGTGCAACTCCGAGAAGCGATTAATCGAGTAGTAGTTCCTATCCAATGGAATGGATGGTCATCATAGTACTATCAAGTCTAGCCCTAGAAAGAGTCCAATTGGGCGATGAATGGTAGGTAGTTTCAATGACCCCCCTCAGGCAATGAGGAGGATGCATCCTTACTGTCGCAATCCCTATATATTGATTGATTGATTGATGGTCACTTCCTTGATTGTCCCTCTAAATCACTAACTACTATGCTATGCATGCGTCAAATCGGAGATAGAAACTTGGCCAACGGGACCCAGATTAAGGGGAGCCAGAAAAAGCGTACGCCAGAGCCCACTCCACTTGGATTGCAGTTGCTTGTCGGTTCGAATCAGATTGATTAATGGCCAGGACCGAATTACATCATCCGCGCGGATGGCCCCGACAAGCCATGCTAATCGTTAAATTCTCCTAGTCTTTGAAGCTATTCAGGGCTCCTCAGCGTCTCCTTGCGGTCCCAAATCAAATTCAAATGGGTAAGCATGAAATCTTAATCCTAATCCTCACCCAACAAAGCCACACACGGGCACATACCCTGCATATAGAATCCTGGTCAAGTAACAGCCACCAGTGAGGATAGAGAGACCGAGGGACCCACGGGTCGGTGGTCTCGAGTCTCCAACAGCGAGAAAGAAGACGGAGAGAGAGCGAGTGAGAGAGAGGGTCGCAAAGAAAGGGAGGCCCACCAGCGGCCCTGATTTCCCGCCCCTTTTTTCAGGTCAAGCCCAACTGCACTGGAATTGATTGGATCAGACCAGCAGCTCGCTTCAGCAACAGTCCATGTCAATTGTGGTGCTGCTGCATGTGCAGATGGAACTAAGGCTTCTTTCATGCATCACCTCGTTTACTAAAAAGGCATTGTGGAATAATTGTCTATTCATACAGATTTTGGTCATTAACTATGCTACATGCTTATCTCCTAACCCTCCTCTTCCAGGCCACCCATACACTTCGCTGGTTTGTACAAGCATATGTGGTGTGTAGTCAATCATAGTGAGTACTTGAATCAGCGTTCCTCACCAAATGGATGGTTAAATTTCAGCAACCCATTCAAGCCTCCAACCCATCCATCGTGTGCTTCCCCACCGGTGATTCTTCGCATAACGCATGGCACGCCTCCTTGCCATTCATTCTTGCCATGTCGCATCTCTTCGTCCCATACTCTTGCCTCCATTCCCGCGGTCAACCCTTGCCCTAAGTTCACCCCGTCAATGCTGACCTCCAACTCGCGACTCCGGTTCTTCTCGCTCAGTCGGAGAGTAATCGGAGTACTGGATGGCAGCACCAAGGGCCGGAAGCTTAGACTCCGCGCACAGATCGGTGTTAGTAGAACCGCGGGCACGAGTGGATGCACAATACTGCCTCCACTGCTCAGACTGTATGCTGTGCTACCCGTCGGTGTCGAGATAATGATTCCGTCGGCCACGGCTTCCGTCAGAAACCGGCCCCCAACATAGACATCCAGCACCGCCAAATGTGGCTCTTTGCCTCGATGCAAGAGCACCTCGTTCATAACGTATACTCCCTGGTTGTTCAAGACGTTTGGCATGGCCGCTGATGTGGATTCCCGTTGGACTGGCTTGCCGTCTGCCGTAAAGAGCCCAACCTTCAGTCGGTTGCGCATCAAGATTCGGGCGCCGCGCGTTAAGCCCATCGACTTCCCCCGTACCGAGGACCATCCAGTAGGATTCGCTTCCAGATCCAGTGCTTCGTCGGCTGAGGCTGGCCGGGAGTCTCCCAGCACCGTCGCGCGATCCCCAACGCCGGCTCCTGACATGTATACCTCGCGGAATGCGCGCTTGTATTCGGCAAATTTCCATTCGCTCAAGAAACCCAATGTTCCCATGCTAAATGACAGCACCGGCGGGACGTTGTAGCACGTGGCAAACAAGGACGAGGCATGCAGGATTGTACCATCTCCCCCGAGAGTAACGGTGAGATCCACCTTATCGTGCAATGCCGGTCGTAGTTGGTCGAGAGGGGCGGTGTAAACAGGCGACTGAAGTGACAAGTGTATTTCCTCTGCGACACTGGGTTCTAGAATGATCGAGGCCGATGGGTAGGTAGATGTCGCATGACTGCATTGCCGGTGAGGGGTTAGCATCCATGACTTCTCGGTCAGCCGATTTTGGGACTCCGTACTTAGCAAATTCAATTAGAGAGGCAGTGATGGCCGGAGAATAGTCTTTCTTCACGACGAAGATATTCCGCGGGGGGGCTGGCCATTGGAGGGAAAGGAGATCGCCCTCTTGGGATTCTGCTCGGGGCGCACAAGCAGGTCAGCATACCAGGAAGAGCTTGAAGATATTTCGCAGACGACACTGCGTTGACGCACACCTTGGTATTTTGGTATCAGTCGTTTTGGTAGAGTTGCAACATCTCTAATCTCGTAACGTCGTGAGGAGGAGGAAAAGTTCCGTGACCAAAGCATCCGAACCGGAGGCCCGACATGAGCAAGCCGTGGTCGCATACTCGCAAAATACATTTTTTAGTAGCTGATGAGATCGAAAAAGACCATGCACGCTCTTCTAGAAGAATGATATCAGCTCACTTCGAGACTTGTTTCTAAGATATGACTAGAGCGCTCACATTATCAATCTAGGTCTGATTCATTGTTCCAAAGTAGCATATGAGAGAAAGTTGCGCGGGACCCGACATGCAGGTTTAGTTGGGAGGTGTAGACATCCGCATCTATATTCTCCCAATTTCTGTAAGATTCTTCTGGTCCATAAAACAGAAACATATATAGGAAGAAAATGAAAATCATGCACAGTGGAGAAATTTCATCTATCTCCGAAGCGTCGAAAAGAGTCCTGCAAGCGTGATGCCGATCGAGACCCCCCGGATCTCCGCTGACCGCCTTGAGGGGAGGGCCGGGCCAACTGACGTAGTGGTTTTTGACTGGAGATCATTGATCATGCGCCCACACACTATTGAGACACTTGAGAGCTGTGCTCCGGCTCAAGCTTCCTGCTCCCTCGAGACAGGAACCAAACTTCTCTCCCGTCTTTCCTTTCTCTCTCTCTCTCCCTCTCAAGTATTCTTCCCCCAAAACATGGCTTGAATCTACTTTATTTTTACATCTCCCACATTATCATTACTCCCCCGGTATAGGTCCGGCTTCCGTTAGTCCCTTTGTCCTCCGATCCCTCTTGATCTTACAACAAACACTGCTGGCCTTCCGGCAGACACCGCTTTTCCTGGTACAGTGTGCTGCATCTGGTTGCTCGCGTGATTCAAGGCTGGGAAAGCTAATCAGTGCCCGATCCAGTTCCATTATCTCTAGAACTTTATCCTCCCTTATATAGTTGGCCTGCAAGTCCCTTCGTAACGCCTCGTCGCCAACAACTGATTCTCATCATGGATACCTCCGAGGTTCGACAACGAAAGCATGACCCTCAACTGAATCACACAGCCGCTCCGAAGAAGCAGCCTTCCGACAGTCAAGATGAGGAACCCCGTTTGAAGCATGGCATTGCGATGCAGCTTCTCCGCTCTTTGCTCCTGGCCACATGGTTCAACTGCTGCTGCGTCGCCATCCTAGCGACCCAGGTCATCGGCTCCCCTCTATACGTGATAAACAAGGATTGGTATTATTCCTATATGGCATACACAAAGCAGTCCTTTGGCTTGGTCATCACGGCTCTCACTCAATGGGGCTGTCCTACCTTTGTGCGAGTCAGCGGTGACAAGAGTGTACGGGGTCAGGTCCACGTCGCAGAGGATGGGCGCTTAAAGACCCAATTCCCAGAGCGATTGGTCCTCATAGCCAATCACCAGGTGTATACTGATTGGATCTATCTGTGGTGGGTGGCATACACGAATACGATGCACGGCCGCATCTTCATCATCCTTAAGGAATCCTTGAAGTACATTCCTATTATCGGCCAGGGTATGACCTTTTACGGCTTTATTTTCATGGCTCGCAAATGGTTGTCCGACAAGCCCCGTCTGCAACATCGATTGGAGAAGCTGAAGACTCAGCATACGGGATCGCAGTCAGGGTCCCCGCAATATGACCCCATGTGGCTTCTGATCTTTCCTGAGGGGACGAACCTATCCATCAACACCAGGCGGCGGAGTGCAGAGTATGCCGCAAAGCAGGGACTCTCCCCTTTGAAGCATGAGCTGATTCCCCGCTCCACTGGTTTATTTTTCTGTCTACAGCAGCTGCGCGGGACAGTGGAGTGGGTCTATGACTGCACCGTAGCCTACGAAGGACCTCCGTAAGTACTCGATGCGCTTGCTTGCAAGCGAATGAGCATTCCACTAACCACTTTCCTCAACAGAAAGGGTAATCTACCTGACAAGTACTTTACCCTTCGGTCGACGTATCTGCAGGGGCGACCGCCCACTTCGGTCAATATGCATTGGAGACGTTTTGCCGTGTCCGAGATCCCTCTGGATGACCAGCAAGAGTTTGACTCGTGGCTCCGCGAGCGTTGGACCGAGAAGGATCAGTTGCTTGAGGAGTACTACGAGACAGGGAGGTTCCCGTCCGAGCTGGCTGGGTCTATCGAGGTTGGGCATGGATTCGAGGACCGGAAGACTGCCGCGGCTGCAGGGTATGCTGAGGCACATGTGCGGTTGGGACACTGGACCGAGGTTGGCCGGATATTCATGGTGCTTCTAGGCGCGGTTTTCCTCTGTAAATTGCCCAAGCTCCTGGGATTCTAATGTGGAAAATGCCTTCTTGGCCGTGGATCGATGTTGCCGTTATGTGCTATGACCGACACTCTAACCAACCCGTTGCATGACATGAGCAGATGCGCTTAGAGTATTATTATGACTATTTTTCAGTTACTGGCGTGATGGGTCTCACTTGGATAGATGCCTCTCTCCTCCACTATATTGCTTTGGACGTGGTCATGGGGCAGTTTTTGATTTCTTCTTCTACGATATCGATATAGCTTTCTAGTGTAATCCATATATAGCACCGAGCAGGTGCATTACGTGAAACACTAATTATTGACAAAATTTCAATACAGCGTATGATGGCCTCTGCATACCATCTATAGCTATAATATTAATTCTCCACCATATTCTAATGATTTGAAAATAATTTGGCACTGTGTAAACACAAACATACGGAGAGTGCCAGTGAGTGAATGACAAGCCACAGCTGGCGGGCGGTGGCGGTGTAAACTCGGCCCGGCCAGCCTCTCTCTCCCTCTGTCTCTCATGCCAAACCTCCGGAGCGCTACAGAAAGCATCGATCTCAATCTGCTGCAACCACAGGCTTTGTCCTCTGACTGCCACAGTTTCAGGAGCGCGCTTCTTGCTAGTCACCCGGCAAGAAGACACTTCTTTCAACCGCGTCTTTTTACCCCCCACTCTAGTTTGGCTTCATCCCGATCATGAGTTGAGCTGAACTACGAGCCAAGCTCCTTTCACCTCTCCGAAACAGTCGCAATCCTTCCCATTGCCCCATCTACAACACAACACATTGCTCAAAGCAGTGCCCGCACACGCCATGGCGTCCCTTCAGAATGGCCACGCCAATGGCACGAATGGCGATTCTCTTTCAGCGGCCAACCCGTTGCCCAATCTCCGTTTCTCTGACATTCCCTCCGCCATCGACATTCCCGCGTCCACCCTCGACAGTGAAGTCGAGGTCAGCCTAGAGATTCTTCCAGATGACCCAACCGAGCTCTGCACATTGTTGGAGAACGAAAAGGCCGCTAAGAACTTTTGGGTCACGATCGCGCTGGCATACGCCAAGCAGAAGCAACTCGATCATGCCATCGACATCTTAAACAAAGGTCTCGCGTCGGTCGCTCATGGAGCTACGAAAGAGAAACTCGGCCTGCTGGGATGGGTTTGCTGGCTGTTGATGCTGAAGAGTCGGAATGCCCCCCGCGTTGCCCCCGAGGGAGAATTGTACACCGAGGCGAAGACGAAGGATCATTATCTCCAACTTGCGACGTCTACTTTGAACGAGGCTTCACGACTGAATCCGGCGTTCCCCCCTCTGTTCCTGGCGCGAGGTGTCCTGTCGCTGCTGCGCGCCTCGCTACATCCACCCCGTCCTGTTCGCCCGGGCACCGTTGACACATCTGAGAGGGTAGAATCGCTGCGGCAGGCGCTCAAGTGCTTCGATGAGTCGTCCAAGGCTTTTGGTGGTCGGAATGTCATGGCCATCCTTGGGCGCGCGAGAACGCAATACTTGCTTGGCCGATACGCCGAGGCCCTGGAAGGCTACCAGAAGGTTCTGATGAAGATGCCCAGTCTGACAGATCCCGACCCGCGGATTGGTATCGGCAGTTGCTTGTGGCAGTTGGGCTTCAAAGAGCAGGCCAAGGTTGCTTGGGAGCGAGCTCTGGCGTTGGTGGGTTCCACACAGATTCTACTAGTACCAGTTTCTTGTTTACTAACCGCTTGACTTTTTGTTGCGAAACAGAACCCTGACTCCAAGGTCGCCAATATTCTCCTCGCAGTATACTATCTCTACGACAGTTCACGACATGCCACGACAGACCCGGCCTTCGGTTCATTGTACAAGGTAGCAATGACTCAGTACACGCAGAAGGCGTTCAAATTGGACAAGGAATACCCCATGACTTGTTCTCTGTTTGGCGGGTACTTCCTCCTCCGGAAGGCTTACTCCACCGTCGAGACCCTGGCCCGTAAGGCCATCGAACACACCGATGTCATGCAGATTGCCAGCGATGGCTGGTATCTCCTTGGTCGGAAGTCCCACTATGAAGGCGACCTGACGCGCGCTGCGGAGTATTACAACCGCTCCGACCAGGCTCGTGGCGGTGGTGAGAAGGGATACCTCCCGGCCAAGTTCGGCACGGTACAGATGCAAGTGTCTAACAAGGACTTTGACGGAGCCAAGTTCCGCCTCGAAAAGATCATTCAGCAGACGAAGAATGCCGAATGCATGGTTCTGCTCGGCGCGCTCCATGCGGAGGAGGTCTTCGCTGCGCAGAGAAGCGGCAGCAAGGAAGACAAGTCGGCTGAGATCAAGAAGGCCATCAACCTTCTGGAATCGGTTCGCGCCCTCTGGAAGGACGAGACCAAGAAGATCTCGCCCGACGAATCCGTCTTGGTGTACCTGGCCCGGCTGTACGAGCAGAGCGCTCCCGAGAAGAGCATGCAGTGTCTCACCCAGCTGGAGGAGATGCAGCTCGCAGAGGTCGCAGAGGAGGAGCGCCCCGAAGGCGTCGAAGATGAAGAGCAGGTCAAGGCAGCTCTCCGCGTCCACCTTCCCCCGCAACTCCTTAACAACATGGGATGCTTCCTGTATCAAGCTGAGAAGATCGAAAGGGCCCGGACCATGTTCCAAGCAGCGCTGGATGCCTGCGTCCGATCCAAGGAAAATGAAAGCGAGCTCGACACCGACGCGCTCGTCACCACCATCAGCTTCAACCTGGGCCGGACCTATGAGGCAGCCGACATGCCGGAAGAAGCCAAGAAGGTGTACCAGGGTCTCCTGGAACGTCACGCTGACTACACCGAAGCCAATGCGCGCTTGACGTACATCGCCCTGCGCCAGAGCCCCACAGACGAGGGCCCGAAGAAGATGGCCAAGCTCTACGAAGCCGACTCGACCAACCTGGAAGTGCGCGCCCTGTTCGGCTGGTACCTCAGCAAGTCCAAGAAGCGGGCAGCCAACCTGGCCGAGGACCACGAACAGCGCCACTACAAACACACCCTGCAATACTACGACAAGCACGACCGATACTCCCTGACGGGCATGGGTAACATCCACCTGTCCACAGCGCGCGACATGCGCCGCGACAGCGACCAGG